CAGGATATACAGATTTGAAAATGAGACACTTTAAAACACGGGTTTGTTGTCACAACACCCCTGTAGCTGCGTTGTAGCACTTGAATGTTGGTCATCTAGCTGTCAGACACTCTTACCAGACAGAGAGCTTTCCAGAGCTTTAATATGTGCACAGATGTGGCCTAAGGGCTATTTCTCCTCTAGCAGGTGAAAGGCTTTTGTGATTTAAAAGTCTGTGCAGTCTCCTAGCCCTCTGGAAGGGAGAGGGAAGAAAAAAAAACAAACCACCCACATATTATATACAGTGTAAACATCACAAGGCGTGGAATTCTCCTTCCACCAGAGATGGTGCCCGGGAGGGGGCGGGTGTTAACAGTCCTCGTCCATTTCCCTCGATTTCTTGTGAATGGCCCGGTTAAAGCTGTGGCAAGCAGGGACCCAGTGATTGTCATGAAGGCCGAGTTTGCAGCCGGGAACGCTCTTCTGGGATCGATGGCAGCACATCCAGTACCCGGGGCCGTACGGTAGCGCCTGGCAGTAGGGTTTGGGGTGCCACCGGCACAGGGAGACGTCCCCCCTGACGTACTTCTTCTTACACTGCTTGCAAGGGTCTTCCCGGTAGCGAGGGTCGCGCACCCAGCGAGAGTCCGCCGGCCTGATATTGTAGTATTCAATGACGAACTTGAAATAGCCACAAGTGCATTTGAGAGCCACGAGGCTCCGGGTGGGCAGCAAGCCAAAGATTTTCACGATGATATGGTGGGGCAGGAAAACCAGGTACTGCTGGGGTTCCAACAGCTGCTGGATCTTAAACCTCGTCTCCAGAAAGTCGTGGGACCTCTGCCTCTTCAGACCCGGAGAGCCCACGCTCTGCAAAGCGCCCTCGGGAGGAGACGGCAGGATCCCTCCAGAAACGTGGCTGGCGGAGTGTGGCTCCTCCACAGGGGAGGCATCCTTCCCTGCCGGGATTCCTGAACGCTCTTCGGGAGAGGCTTCTTCGTCCTCCGGCTGGATCTCGCTGGGAATTTCACGCGCAGAGAGAAGCAAAAACAGCATCCCAGGAAGAGCGTCTTCCCCGCAGCTGGAGTCCGGAAGCTGGCTTTTCCGGCAACCTGGCTCCACCCTGGCGACTGACAGGCTAATACTGACAGAGCCTCGCATTTGCACATTCGGGCTGAGATCCGGACAAGCTGTCGGCTCCCTTGGTGTACCGTCCGGAGCTGGGGATCTGCTCTGCCAGTCACAAGGCCGCCTCGGAACAGCTTCTGGATATGCAAAGGGTCGGGGCGCAGTGATCTCCCCAGAGTTGCATGGAGGGCCGCCAGCTTGGTCTGCGTCTCCCTGGCACAGTTTCGCTTCGTTCTTCCTGTCGTGGGGACCCGGGAGGGAAGACGACTGATCCGTCAATGGGCTTTCCCATAAACCGTGCTCCACTGACAAGCTGCACTTTGATCCCCAGCTGTCGTCCTCTCCGCCACACTCTTCCCGGCGGAGGACTCCGCTGGACGCCTCCCCGGCCTCGGGTTCCGGGGCCGTCCCGCTCGCCAGCAACACCCTGCCGACGTTCCGCCGAAAACTGTTGTTCCGGGACAGGCTCCCGGCTTCCTGTTCGCTCTGACGCCTCAGGCACTCTGATTCGAGCCTGGCGACCATCTCTAACACCCGCACGGGCTCGGCTTGGGCTTCTCCGTCACCGCTCGCGCTGGCGTCTTTTTCCGATGGGGCCTCGGGCGCCCCTAAGGCAGGAAACGGTCCGGGAGCAGGAGCGCTCTGGGCTTTCGATTGCCCAGGGCCCCTGGTCATGGCCGAGGCACTGGGGCAGTTTTTGGTGCAGCCGGCCAGCAAAACGCTCGCCCTTTGTTCTAGGAAAGCAACCATCTCGACGACCGACAGGGGGCGGCCCGGGAACCCCCCCTCCCCGCTTTCATTCACATTATGGACAGAGCAATGCTCGATGCTGCAGGCAAAGGGCTCGGGCGGGGGGCACCTCCCGCTGGCCTCTCGCGCCCTCTCCAGGTGGACCTTTGCCCTCTTGATGTCGAGCGACTTTTTCCGGCGCTTGGTCGCCCTCCCTTCGATGTCCCAGCTGCTCTTGCTCTTCATGGAAGACACCCGGTGGTCACTGCACTGCTGGGCCGCGAAGAAGGCAATCTTCTCCTTGGTGTTCCCTGGCTTCACGACTGCCCAAATGTCCAGAGGTCCTTCTCCATCATCACCCTGGTGGATGGTAGGGGCCAGGGCGGCTCTCCTCTCCTTGATGCTGGGCTCTCCTTCCGGATGGCTTTTTCTCTCATTCCTGCGGCAGATCGTGTTGGGAGAGAGGCTTCCCAGGGGCTTCCGGAGAGGCGGGTTTGGGAAGAGGCCAGGCGCGGGGCTGTCCGGTTTTTCCTCATTTCCCACTCTCTGCTGGCTCATTGGGGGGCTTCGTGGAGAGTCTGGGCTTATTTCAAGGGACCTCTCTTTCTTTTGCAATTTCAGATATGGCTTCAAATGCATGCCAGATATTCTAAGAAAGAGAACAAGACAAAAGATACACGGGTTAAAAACCACAGTTGTGGAATTATGAACATAGTTGCTTAGAGAGGAAGATTTCGTCAGGTATCAAAATGAAATGTGCCAGGGGATCCTTAGCATCTTCTTTAATTTGTGACTGAGCTGGCTGGACGGCTGAATGGTTTAAGTATCTGGCTATGGAACCAGAGGCAGCGAGTTCAATCCCCCCACTGTGCCTCCTATGAATAGGTGTACAGCCAGCCTGTGTAGCCTTGGGCAAACTGCAAAGTCCCAGAATGACCCCAGAAGAAGAGAAAGGGAAACCACTTCTCTCCACCTAGAAAACCTTAGAAAGGATTCGTCGTCAGTCAGAATTGACGCAACCCTGGCTCTGCGAAATCAGGTCCACATACAATCTTACTCAGAGCCTGGAGAAAGCTCCTTGGTCTGAACCATCATTCCCACAATCCCCTGACAGGATGGGGATTCTGGCAATCATAGTTCAGACAAATAACTTTTCCAAGCTCTGCCATCTTCTCTTCCCCATTTGGAAGCTTCTGGTTGAAGCCAGAGGGAAGACAGGATGGGTGCCTGCCTGGATGGATCAAGGGGGGACTCCTTCAGCGGCAGAGGGCTTCTCAAAACTCACTGATCGCAGGAAGGGTATTGCAACGGCTGCTGTTGCCAGCCGCGTCTTCTTCCACAACGTTCTACGGCTATCTTCTGTTCTCAGAATCTCCAGTTTGTACCACTCTTTCCTGCCTTGGCTGCCATCGCTGGTGAGACGTCACCAGCAGGAATAAGTCTATGGCTTGTAATCCTGCTGAGCAGCGAGCCAAGTCTTGCCAAGATAAGAGCATGGCACAGCGCTGCTTCCAAGGGCCGGTTTTCTTCATGGCTTCTTCAAACACTGCCATGCTACATTACTCTTTTGGCAGGGATTCGTGCTCGGCAGATGCTCAACAGAGTACCACCCACGCTCCTGGACAACCACGTCTACCTCACCCGATCCCCTGGAATCCAGACTACTAATAACTTACTGAAGGCAAACAGGATTTCCCCTTATTATTGGTCTCTCTCTCTCTCTCTGATGTTTATAAGTGTCAGTTAGGACCATCCTTATGGACCACAAAATCCTACACATTTCAGAAGTGGGTCTGCTTAATGCAGGGTGAAGAACCTTCAGCCATCAGTAAAACTTCAAAAGGCCTCTGCAATTTATTTATTCATTAAATTTATACCCCACCTATCTAGACACAAGTCTACTCTGGGTGGCTAACAATAAAAAATGGAATAAAAACCATATAATAAAATAAAAAGCAACAATAGTAATAGGGCTCAAGATGGGGGAAAAAATAAAAATAATCAAGTGATGACAGGAGGGAAAGTCTGCCTAAAGAGCCAGGTCTTAAGCTGGCCTTAAGTCTTAAGGTCAACTTAAGCAAGCCATCAAGTTCAGACGTGGGCTGCTGAGTGTAGCTTCTCTCCCCCCCCCAAAAGATCCCACTGAATGGGAAGAGAAAAAGAGGGGAGGGGATGGGGTTGGAGAGAGAAAAGTGGGTGGCTCTGCGTAGAGTTGGCATGCAGGCATCGACAGGTCAAACCCTGAGAAAAAGGAACTGTAAGAAAGGTGTTCCCCCTCCCCTTGATTTGCTGCATGTATTTATTAAGTTTATCACACTGAGAGCATAAAAAAAGCACCGCAGTAGGCGAAAGAAACTTTGGTAGGAAAGCCCAACAAATGAACATTTTACAAATTGCTGCCATTTATACCAGAACGAGGGGACATCCACTCCAGTGGAGAGTTGGGAGAGTGAGAAGGGATCAAAGAAAAGATTTCTTGACCCAGCGTGTGGTTAGTCTGTGGAACTCCTTGCCACAGGATGCGGTGATGGCATATAGAGGCTTTTTAAAGGGAACTGGACAAATTCCTGGAGGAAAAGTCCGTCGCAGGTGACAAGCCATGATGGGAATGTTATAATCTCCAGGATGAGAAGAAAGGTCCCTCCAAAGGCCAGATGCAGGAGACAGGGATCTCGTGGTGCCTTGTGTGTTCCCAGAGGCACCTGGTGCGGCCACGGTGAAATCCAGGGAGCTGGACTGGAGAGGCCCTCGGCCTGATCCAGCACTGGGCTCTTCTTCTTAGGTTCTACTGCTTTGCTTTTTAAATTATTAGAACCTTTGCTTCTACTTTAAGCTCCAAAGGATACTAATATTTAAATAGCTCTGTCAATATTGACAAAGCTGTGGATAGACTTCTCTCCTTTATTTCTTAAAAAACCCCACCTTCTTTCAACAGTGTAACTCTGACGTGGGTTCCCCGCATCACATTTTTTTAACGCCCATTTCCCTAGAACACCAAATAGGTCTCGTAAGTTTCCTTTAAAGATTTCCCTCCCGGGAGGGCCTTTCTTTCAAAGCACTGCTGTGGCACACAGCCCGACCTCCGTGACTACAATTCCTAGCATCCTTCCCCCCCAAGGCTCTGGAGATGATGGGCACCGTAGTCCAGCACTTTTCGAAAGGGCCAAGCTGTGTGTGTGTGGGGGGGGGAGGTTGTCTCAAGGGCAAGAGTGACCCAGCAGAGTGGGACTGCAGCTTTTCGCTTGCTGGGAGGGACAGGGGGGGGCACCTCCTGTACCGTTTTACAGGGTGCAACGTGGAAGAGGCTGAGTTCAGCAGTTCCCGGTGGAGCCCAGCTCGGCAGAAACTCTTCATCGTTAACTCTCCCCGCACCTCCGCGGATCGCCACGGCTCAGTCCATCTCGGCCCTCTGCCAGAGCTCCTGCGTCAGCTGGTCTCGCCCCACACGAAGAACGCCGGCCGGGCCTTTGGCACCGAAGGACCACTAGGAGAGAGAAAAAAGAAACGGAGAAATGGTGATCAAGGATGTGGATCAAGGATGCAGGCGTTCCCTCTGTGGGTAGCATCGTGCATAATAGCCTTCGCAAACCAGGGAAGCCGCCTTCTCTTGCACCCGGTCTCTCCCTAGACTCCGACAGACCACCCTGGCTTATCGGCCGCTCTCCACAATTTCAGGCAGGATTCCTTCCTTGCCAGATCTGGAGATGGCCAGCATTGAACTTGAGATCTCTGGCACCCAAAACCAGTTATTCAACCCGGTGTGATCCCAAACCCTGGTGGCACCCAGTCCACCCCCACCCGCTGAAGAACCGCCGTCCCTGATGGGCGAGGATCTTACGGGACCTGGCAGCTTTCCATTAAAAGACAACACAATAACAACAAACAGGAGTTGGCTGCCATACAGGATCACGACAGACCCCATTTCAGCCTTTTTTGATGGCTCTCACAGCGAGGAGCAGATCTTTACAGCCGCGAACTGCTAACGGTGCTAGAATGCAGTGCTGACTTTTCAAATTCCAGACCCTATATTCAGTTTTGTGAAAGAACAGACGGCTGTACGGCCACAGAGTTTCAGAGCCGTCGGCTTCAGTGGGCTCGTGGGCGGAGGACAGGCTCCTGGGTGTGCACGCGCACATACGTCGTACACACCGGTCTGCTTCGGCAGGGTTCACAAAAGCCCTCCCTGCCACCACCAGAAAAAAAACGGAAGGAAGCAGGGAGAACCTGGAAGACCAACACAACCATCCCAGCACAGAGTGGAGGGACTGTAATCCCCATTAATCTCAACTCCCCCGCTGACAGTGAGACATGATGGGACTTGTAGTTCACAGCCTCCCACATCTGAATGACATCTACCGGCAGCAAATGGTTGCCAACAAGGCTTCTTCTGGGCCCTAACTGGAGACGTGGGAGAATCCAGTTTGGAGCCTGGTCCGTCTAAGGCAGGCGCAGGTGGAAGGGTCAGAATAAGTGGCCTCATGCAGGTGTTCTGGCAGGAAATTTCTGACAAAAGGGGGCAGGGCCCACACCTTCTATATCTGGTCTCCCATTACTTTCCTTTTTTTTTAATTACAGCTGACCTCGGGATCGTTTCCTCCCCCAGTGGCGGAGGATCGCTCAATAAGATTCCTTTCCTCAGGTGTTGTTCCTACCCCCAATGGAAACTGGATCACATCTAATCATTGGGGATCTCGGATGCGACTGACACAGTCCATAGGAGCCCAGTCTTTGTCATTATAGTTTCCCCTGTGACATTCTAGGCCAAAGGGATCAGCCAATTTGGCCAGAGAGACGTTTCTCATCGAACTAAGAGTTGACAATATCCTTGAGGGGTTTGGCTTTATCTAGTAGTAGGTGTCACCATCATTGCAGATTGGTGACAGCAGCCACGAAATTAAAAGATGCCTGCTTCTTGGGAGGAAAGCGATGACAAACCTCGATAGCATCTTAAAAAGCAGAGATATCACCTTGCCAACAAAAGTCTGCATAGTCAAAGCTATGGTTTTTCCAGCAGCGATGTATGGAAGTGAGCGCTGGACCATAAAGAAGGCTGACTGCCGAAGAACTGATGCTTTTGAATTTCGGTGCTGGAGGAGGCTCTTGAGAGTCCCCTGGACTGCAAGGAGATAAAACCTACCCATTTTGAAAGAAATCCACCCTGAGAGCTCACTGGAAGGACAGATCCTGAAGCTGAGGCTCCAATCCTTTGGCCATCTCATGAGAAGAGAAGACTCTCTGGAAAAGACCCTGATGTTGGGAAAGTGTGAAGGTGAGAAGGGGATGACGAGATGGACGGACAAGGTCACCAAAGCGACCAACAGGAATTTGACCCAACTCTGGGAGGCAGTGGAAGACAGGAGGGCCTGGCGTGCTATGGTCCATGGGGTCACAAAGAGTCGGACACGACTAAACGACTAAACAACAACAACAGTAGTAACCGTGCTGATTGCCTCATCTCTTTAATTAAGTCACCAGAGGCATGAGTTCCAAATTTAACATCCATAGGGCCTTCTCCTCCAGACGCCAGATCAGTGTCTGTAACGAAGGTGTTTCCATGTCTTTAGGGAGCCCTCCTCGGACAAGACGCATCCAGGTTTCTTTCGCCCTGGCAGTCACTTGCTCTCATCCTGAAAGATTCTGGTTGGATGTGTTCCGAAAGTGGCTTAAAAACCCCTCTCACCTGAAGTCACATCAGCGGAAAGGTTGTTTGCCAGGATGTCACTACTAGCCTCCGTTTCTAGAAGGAATTTGGGAGTCTCAAAGTTCTCAAGACCGATCTTGTGGGCTTCTAAGAAGGTTTAATACCCATCTGTTTCTCCAGCACCCTATGTTTACCAGGGTCTGCGCTATTTCTAGCACAACCCGGTGTTTTTCCCCTCACCGCAAGCTCCCCTTGGTGTCGGGTCTATCTGTAGTCCTCATGCGCAGCTTTAGATGACAAACATCAGCAGAGATAGGGTCCCTTTTTTGTGTTGGAAGGAGATTTACCTCCTTTTTACAGACTTGATCATTCTAGTTTTCTCCTTAGCTCTTCCAGCAGGTTGATTTTACGGGTTAGGGTTGCTCAGCTGCTGGAAGATAACAGAGTCTGTCTCTGTCCTAAGAAGGCACTGATCTCCTATCATTTTAACTAGATTTGCACCGAAGATTCCTCCAGTTGCGGTATTGGGAGAGTTGGGAGTCTCCAGTGGGCTTCAAGCTGGAAAATAACGCCTCCCCTCTTTTACTATCTAAGGATCTCTTTTGCTGTTTGGGCCAGCATGCAACAAGTGAGTTGGGACGGTGTACTTTCCCCAGCTGCTCCAGCAGAACCAAATCTGTTTTCAGCAAGAGGGAAGAGTTCGCTTCCATTTCCAGCATCTAACAAGTCATCAATACAGAGTTGTTTCGAGGATTTATGGGAGGTAGCCAGTGGGGAGTCGGCACCTGAGCTATTCCTTGTGCTTTTCTTGATTGTTTTCATTTTCTGGGTCTTCTGGAAGCAGTGTTTTATTGCTCCTATGATTCTTCCAGGAGATTTGCAACTTTTAACTCCCTTCCCTTTGACAATCCAAACTTGTTATTTCAGCAAAAACGGCAAACCAATAAATGCTTCTTCATAAAAAGCTTAAAGGTCAAAAAGGGAGTGGAAGTCGCACAAATGACCTTCTTTCCTTAAACTGGAACTGGGACCCCAAACACAGGGGGGTTTCCAGAAAAAAGTGACTGAATTTATGCAAGCCCAAGGTGAGATTCTTGAGAGTCCCCTGGACTGCAAGGAGAACAAACCTGTCCATTTTAAAAGAAATCAACCCTGAGTGCTCACTGGAAGGACAGATCCTGAAGCTGAGGCTCCAATCCTTCGGCCATCTCATGAGAAGTGAAGACTCCCTGGAAAAGACCCTGATGTTGGGAAAGTGTGAAGGCAAGAGGAGAAGGGGA